GTTAAAGTCGACGGCATCTTCGATGTGACTCTCGTATTCGATGACGAGCTCCTGATGGGCAGTGTCGCCCTGCTTCACCAGACTAACAGTGACGTTCTCCATCTGCAATGAGAAAGAGTAAGCGGCTGAACGGGTACCAGATATTTGAGAATGTGCTCGAACCTTCAACTTGCTGGCCGCAGCGGCCACCCTGAGCAGGTCTGGAATGAGTTTCTCCGTGTTGACGATGGTCAGTATTTCTTCGCTATGCTCATTGGGCTTTATGATTTCGATTTGGACGAATGTCGATGGTTCAGCCGACTCAGTCGCGAGTTTTCTGACCTGTAATCGCAGAAAAATCGTATTGGGTTTTTCATGGCAGAGATTATGGAATGGGCGCAACCCGTTAATAAAGCAACGGTCCCCAGCTCTGCTTTTGCTTTTTACACTGCTGTTTTGGCCCAACACGAAAGCTCTCAGAAAGTGCCTAATTATAGGCAGCTATAGGCCGGTGTCAGACTTCGCGATTCCGCGGATCCGCTGCAATTCAAGGGTGAACGAGCGATTTGCCAGCGGTTTGAACTATGCGCCAGTGAGTTTAGCTGCTGATCCGCCAGCACATCGCTCGTTCCCCTCGAACTGCTGACGGACCGCCCCGTCGCTAGCGAATCTGCGGTTTCGCAAAGTCTGACACCTGCCATGAGCTCGCAGCTATAGGCAAACACTTATTCTCAGCTGGGAATCACTGCAGATGTCAGCTATGCGGCTTATCATGGATTAAAGATCGATCACGAAACATCTGTTCAAAAGAGTCTGAAGAATCTTTTGGAAACCCAATGGTAATGTGCTCCGGAAGGAAGACCTTCGCTACTGCAGAATCACAGCTCCTACCTTCTTCAAACTGAGTGTCATAGCATTGTGGAATTTCTGGGATGCTCCTTCGAGGACGACGATCCGATGTTCAGCGTTCGCCGATCCTCGCTGAGGTGATCGTGATGAGTGTGTTAGCTGACGAGGAGGTACCCGGCCGTTGCAATATCGTTTCCAGGTCGATGAACTTCATCGACGGCACACTAGGCGACGACAGTCGCAGACCTAGCTGGACTACCTGAAAGGATTGGATTTGATTTCATCGCAGCTTTGCACTTGGAAACCTATGTGGTTGAAGTCATTACCAACCTCTGGTTCGACTACCGTAACCACGTGATCGAACTGAACGTTTGGTTTACGTACGTCAATAGTTGTCATTCCGGCGTTAATGATTTCCTGAACAAATTGAGCTTGTGAATGTGTGTCATAGGGCGCTAATTTTGTAATGAAGCCCATCAACTTCCACAATAAATTTCGGGCTAATTCACAAATAACGGGGGAAGTATGATTTTGAAAACTTCGTTAAAAGGCAGCCATAACAACAATCTGAGTTGCAAGGCACCTGGCACAAATTTTTGTGTTTGTAAACAGCCGTTTGTGAAACAAACCTCTAGAACTTGTGCAGATTTAGTGACCATCGTTGACGTCTGTGGCGGAGCAACGGTTGAGATTGTTGGGATTACCTCCACCGTTTCGGTTACCTGGAAATTTAAGGATGTTTGCGGAGTGTTGGGAGCTTCGATCTTACGGCATCAAATCACCTTCTCTTCTAAAATCTTCGCTCCTGGTGCTGCCGTGATTTTCACGATTGACTCATCAACTCGGACAGAACTGCGAAGATCGGATTGGGCCTGGAAACGTGCGATTTTAGGATTCAGGCCGATACTTGAGAAACTTGCAACTGGCTCCTTGTGATTCACAGAAACTGATAACAGGATCATCGCTAGGACAAGCGCGGCACAGAGCAAACTTTGAAAGCTTAAGCTGAACTCACTTGACTCATAACGTTTTCCGTGAATGATTCGGCGAATCTGACAGCTACCAATCGTACCTTCTGCTCCTGAAAGTGGGAGTGAATCACTTTACCAAGCATCAAATGACTCCCCGCGTTTTGATGGTCGGTCCTCTTGTGATTGCGAAAAGTAGGTGTTCTGTTGGAACTTCGGGACGTTAATAGCGGTCTGCGTCGTGGCATGGAGGACTAGCCGGCCAATCTGTTAGTTTTCTTTAGCTTCAAATAGAAGTGGTGACCAGTCTGCGGTTTTGCTCGTGGAAGTAATTAAGATGGTACCGTCTCGACGTCACGCCAAAAGCTATTTTCAGAAACTCTGAAGAGCCGCTATCGCAATATACGGGGCATCCTCCAGAGATAAACTCAAGAGTTGGCAGGAATTTCGGGTAGAATGAAAATGGCTGATGCACCCTGGATTCCATCCTCTTCCGCCTAAGGTTTAAACCCGTTTTCAACAAAAGGGGAAGTTTAACGCTGCTGTATCTTGTGATAGCGCCTCTTAAAGCTATTAAACGATCTCACCTCATCTGCTCGTGCTTCCGCTTCTGCTTCGGCGGTCTGTCTTGAGATCGGCACTTCAACCTGTTGTTCTTTTAGGAATGTGTTTCCTTGGCGTAGTGTTGCAATCGGAGTCTGCATACAAGCGCGTTGCGGCAGTTTCTGGAGGCTGGTCAGATGGTTGAGCAACGACTGGAGGCTGTTCAGCAGCCTGCACAGGGTGCTCTACAAAAGGCATTTGCTTGGATGGTTCCTCAACAACTTTTATCCTGCGGCTTGGAACCGCCAGCACATCGTCCAGACACGCTTTCTTTTTCGGGAGCATGAACTCCTATCGGTCTGTTCCTGTTGTTCTTCAGTGTGATATGCATGGATATTTGTGATGAGCTGTTCACTGCCTTCCTGCTTATCGTATTTGGCCAACGATATTCTCACTGTGTCACCTGCTTTCTCTGAAAGTTTCAGGCTAGTTTTAGTTGCAACTCCAGTACGAGGACATGTAACGTGATGCCTTATCGGGCACAAACTTGTAACGTCGCTAGGCCAGCTTACAGTCGAGCTTGCATGAATGTTCGTGCGTAGGCACGATAGTGAGCGTGCCTTCCTCTGGGAGACGGTTGGAGGTTTTTCAGGACTCAAAAGTGGCACCCTGTTCTCGTAGCCCATGCTTATTTTCCTGAAAAATGGCTATGATTGTGTGCTCACGCCGAGACTCAAGCATTGTTCACGCTATGCAAAAAGGCCTGGTGAGGCTGTGGATATCTCTATTGTTTCATTTGTCCCTCGTTGTTGTGAGAAAACGAGGGCCCCTGAAGTCAAGAATTTCTTTTTCTGCTGACATAAACTGACACTTGCCTGAAACTTCGCATCCTAACACAATTGCGAAGGTGGCTGTCTGGACCACGGTTAACCGTTCTGTTGACTTCTCCACAGATAGATCACGTTGTGGTCCAAGGGGCGGGGATGGGGGTTCTAGCCATGAGCATTTTTGCCGTCAAATCGTTAGGCGACACGAGCGAATGCGCCAGACACATCAACGACCAAATTTACCGGCGCGCAGTTTTCGCTGGCGCACCGCTCTTACCCCTCGAATTTCTAGAGCCCGCGCCAGACTTGCGACTTTGTCGATTCGCTAGCGAATACGCAAAGTCTAAACTAGACTAACGATGACAATACTGTTTACTTCCCTATTTAAGACAGCTAATTTGCAGGTTTTGAGTAATACAGTATATTTTCCAAGTTGCGGCTGTCTAGCGTTTAGACTTACTCGCGTCACATTCAGTTGCTGATCATTGAATATATCACATATCGATGAACGGGGTCGGCTCACCGGTGACCACCGTGCTGATGGTGACCGTGTCGTTCTCTGTCACCACGTATCGCTCAATGCATGTCTCGAAACGTGGTGCATTTGTCACTTCAATTTCTTCCTGAAAATCGGAGCATTCAATAGGGGATCAAGTTCTGAACAGGGATGATGTGATCGGATTGATCTCAAAGGCAGTGACCGCGATGGCCGTAAGTTCACTTCTAGGGCTAGGAGTCCTAGAGGAAGATGCCTAGATGTAGAGGACCGTAGTCCAGGAAAGTTAGGTCAAGAACCTCAATTAACTATGTGTTCTTTGTTCGTTCGAAGGCTCTAATTTAGCACTGTCGTTCGCCTATCGCCTAACTGTAGGCACTGTAAAGTCAAAAGCGGAAGCTTGATGCCTTCAAGAAATCCACAAGAGCCTTGTTTCCCGAGTTCCCCACTCACCTCCTCGCTTTCCTCTTCCATGATTCTCTTGACAGCTTCACGCACAGCATCGACGAACACGTTGGCAACGAGAGCGCTGGCCACGTTCTCTGCCACTTTCACGAGCAATTTGTATTCTTCTGCAAAACGCCACATTTTTGCGCAGAGGTGTCATCGTGCAGAATTTCACTTACCTTCATGCTTGGTGATTTCTGTGGTGGCTACGTAGTCTTCTTTGCTGGTCTCCGTAACTTCGAATGATGATTGATCCTACCGTTTCTGTGAAGGTCGTCGTGTCCGTTTGTGGTTCACTCATCTTCTCCGCAATCACGGTCCTCGCGGGGAACGGTCACCTCACAGCTGGTGCTGCTCACGCCATTCGCTGATTCCGCTTTGCAGGTGTAAACGCCTAGGTAGCGAATAATTACAATAACTGACGTCGATAAGTCTCTTGGTCTTTTGAAATACCCCGCGTTTTTTATGCAGAAATAACTTGTGACTGTGAACATTGTACCCCTTTTACCCCTTTACCATCACTTTTGATTACTCGGAACATTTTCTTTAGCGCTCGAAGGGCTGGTGCACCGTGCAAAGGCAAAGTCAGAGCGGTGAGGGAGCGATCTGGTGTGTTATTGAGCTTGTAAGCGGCAGTGTAACGCCAGTAACAACAAAACGGGAAGAGACCGTCGACAGGGTCGAAAATAAAGCTCCCCCTCCCTACAGTAGAGTCGAAGCGAAATATTAATGATTCGTGGGCGGGGTGTACGATGGTGGGCGGAGCATGGTGAATCTCTGGGCCCCCATCCCCCTCAGCCTTGTAAACGTTGTGGCGCCCACATTCCTCTGCACTTGCGTTCCACTCCATACTTTTTGCACTATAGCTTTATTTCGTTCCAGAAATCCCGAATCTGCCGTCGAACCCAAGATCTTCTACCCCTCAGCAGACCTTCAGCATCAATTGGCCTCTTCCTCCTTTTTCATAGCCCTTGATTCCTGCCACTATTCGACTATTGTCACCAAGGTCGAGTCCCTTCTGCGCATTTGCCTTATCTAGTCCCTTTCTACATGACTGCTCCTTGCGCTTCTACGAAATTTCGCTCAAGTAACTCGCACCCGTGTCAGTTACATCGCCATGACATACATGGTGGATTATATCATAGCTACAATGTTGCTATTGATCATAAGGGTATTCCTCAATACCTGAGGACAAACAACGGCAACCTTAGGAATGTCTAATTTCACAAAATTAGATTCACCATTGTCTGAAGGAGTTGGCGAGTAAATCGTCAAAATAAGAGCACCGTCGGAGAATTCGTGAAGTTCGTACTTTTCTCCAGGAATCAATTGCACGTCGTTCTTCCACCAGCTGATTGTGGTGGTAACAGCACTGAAACGTTCATCAATTATTCAAAAGCCCAATTTCCTCATCTCCTCAGTTTCCAGAGTTAAATGTGCCACATC